AAAACCTTCAGGAACTATAAAAACACTCAAGCGTCGTTATGATCTTTGCTGTTGAAAAGTCAAACTTGACAAGTCTTGACTATTAATTTTAATAAATTAGGGCAGGATGAAATCAGGCGAAAAATTAGTTTAGAGTTACAAATATCTAGGTCAGGTTTTCACTCCAAAAATCTACTGTACACTCCACAGGAAAGAACTGTCAGGTTTGTATTAGGCTCTATTTGGAAAAGTATAATCAGGCCACCATTTATTTTCAACTCAAAATTTTGAATTTTTAATACCGTTTATAGATTAGTAGTGCATTATGGTTTGCAGATCTGGGATTTCAGTTCATTTGCTGAGTTAAACATGGATAACGCTACAGAGATGTTCAAATCGTCCATATTTCAGTAGGGCGATGTGCTAGTGGAAAAATATTTGGTAAATGTATATTGGAGGCATCGATAAATAAAATGCGATAGTTTAAATGTTTGTGAATTTATTAAGGATTCCATAACTCGAAAATCATTTGAATCCCTCCAAACATTCCCTGTCAACAATGTATTCCGTATGTCAATTTCCATCGAATGTCGAGAGTATATTGGTTGTTCAAAAAGCTCCTATTCCAAGTCTCAGTACGGCTTGGTGAGCCCCGAATTTTGCATTCAAAAGTGTTAAATAATTTTGGGCCATACTGGATAGTAATGAGTACGTTAAAATAGAAAAAACCCAATCTAGTAGAGCATTCCGAGTCGAGCTACGCCCACTCCTGAACCACCATGATTTTCGATTTGTTCACATTTACCCACCCTCAAGATCTATAAAATAGTGTACTGATCACGGGAATTAATCATTCTTTCACTAGGTTAAGAGTTTTATCCTATTAGAGACAATGTGTACCACTACAATCTTGACAACCACGAGCAAAGGGCTGAGGAGGCAACCTTGTTCCATTCCCGTATTCACAGAACTCAGTGCCTTAGATCAAACATATCCCACTGAATGTGTAATCTTTAATAGACCGGACAGTCTTTGAACCGGGATTGAAAAGATTTCATTAACTTTTGAAGCCTAGATACATTTGAGTTCCAAACGTTATTGTTATTAAATTTTAAATAAATAAACTGTATTTATTCCAAAAATAAGTTTAAGTATGTAAGAACATAGAAAAAACTCGAAACGACAAATTTAAGTAGCGCAAATGAAAAAAAACCTCACAAACCTTTGATGTGTCAAGGTACACAAGCTCTCTATATCGGGATTATAAAATTTTGTTCAATATCAAGGCAATCTCACTAAGTAAATTTTAAAATATAAAAAATAATATATGTTTCAATATTTATTTATATATTAACATTATATACGTATATATAATACATATAAATTAAATATATATTTAAAAAATATATATATAATAATAAATTGACTAGTTTTGTAAAAACTAAAACGGCCTTGTGTAAAAAAGGATAAAAAATCAACTTGTTATAGTTGGAGAAAAATATAATCGTCAATCATTATATCATATCATTTGTAATTAGAAATAGTTACAAAACATATTAAACGGCGAAGTGCGCTTGCCAATTAATTGTTAAAAATCTATCCTTCCATCAAGGACATCGTTCTTTTAGGTCTTATTTTTTACACGATCGCGCTAAGGTAATCCACCACTTGGATCATGAACGTTCCTCGTCCTCGGTGCGGCCGTGAGTGCAGATTTGATCGAATTTCCAATAGAAATCGCCATCGTAATAGTAATATTAAATAATTCCATATTAAAGTTGTACAGCCTTCTAGGAAAAGCTTTGTGCAACTCATCTAATAGAACAATTTTCATTTGACATTAAAACCACAAATATTAAATTTATGTGGGTAGTAAGCTTACATAGCTCGCATTAGCCTTAGTTAATATTTTAACAGGAAATAATAAATATGATTGTTGACTACTATTGACATAATTATATATTAAAAAATCAGGGATTTTTTAATATGTAATCATAATATTACGGATGAAGTCAATCACATCAAGCTAATGGACAGTATATACAGGGTGTGCCGTGAACAGTCGTCAATACTTCAGGACTACATGTTAAATTGGACTAAAAATACCTTCTTGTCCAAAGTCTGATTACCAATTCTATTTGAGATATCACTTTTTTTAGGTTACTTCACCATTTACAACTTTATCCCAATAAGTTCCTTGAATCTCATAATATGTTAATTCCAATGTAAATTTGATCAAACCAATAGAAAAAGCATTGAAAATTCTATGAGATTCCTTTTTTTATTGTAACCGTAAGTAAGAAAATACAAAATCACTTAGAATATAACCTTTTAAGAATTTCCAAGTCCTTATTCAATGTTATATTTTCTTGGTCCAGTAAATACTGGCAGGCAATTATGGCGCATATAGGAAAGTTGCCCCTACTAATAATGCAGTAAACACACAACAAATGTCGATTATCACCAAAGAAAAATTAATGTTTAATGGCTATAAAATTGATTTTTATATTTTGCAAAAAATTTGATTATTTATCGATCGGTTAACAAAATATTCATTAAGATTTTAAAACTTCTATTAAAAAAAAAAAATAATTATGTCTGATACAAAGCAAACAAAACAGACTTTTTGGTACACAACTGAGAAGAAAAAACTTCTAAAACTTAGATTAAACGTTCAATATGCCCATCCTCTTTGTGAATGCAAGCCAAAAAGGGGTCCATTAACATTTAATTTAATTTTTTTAGGTTTTTTTTCTAATGTTCTATATTTTAAAGAGCCATTTTTCGTTTAATTAGTATTAATTTTCAAACGTGGAATATTGAATTATTATATTATTATTATTATTATTATTATTATTATTATTATTATTATTATTGAAGCCTTTATTCTATTTCTTAGTTTATTTCGGATGTTTTTTACTTACATTGTAAGCATCTTCAGCCTTATTGTGAACAGAAATCATTTTATTGTGACAAATGTATAAATTTTGAAAATCTGTGCATTAATTTTACCTAATCTTATTTAGTAAAGTAGTAGTAGTAAATTAATAAAAGTAGTAATAATAGATTTTTTTTAAAACCGAGGATAAAGAAAAAGAAGTATTACTGTGTTTTTGTTTCTTATTATTGTTAAGTAGCATTAGTTTACTTATCATATTTGAATGGATGAATAAAAGGATAACGATAAGCCTCAGCCTATACTCATGCTGAGACTATTGCTAGTCTGACTCCATTATTATTATTATTATTATTGGCCATACAAGCCTACGGGAAATGTTGAAATTATGGAACAAAAATTCGAAATCTTTTTAAAAAGATTGAACACCGCACTCACTCCACTATTCATCTCATTTCTAAAAATTCGAAATTCTAATTATAGAACACGAATAAATTTTATAATTTTAAATGAGTTTTTGCACACATTTGTCCTTCCAAATTAAGAATTTTAAAAGGATAAATTAAAGATTTGGATGGCAACAGGATAGATTAGTTTATGAGTAAATGTTTGAGTCATTGTTTTATAAAGCTTTACTCAGAAGGGATGTAGATATCCTAAGATAGAAGGTTTAATGTTAGGGCGTGAAATGACCTTAGCCGTTAAAATGCCATTAAAAATTAATGATAATAAAAATAATGTTTATATGCTTAGGTAAACATGCTGCACCTAAAGACTTCATTGATATTAAACATGATGATTAGGTAAACCAAAATATACAACAATATACAACAAACTTCGAAAAAAACCTTTAGCATTAATTTCAATATATTTAAATAGAAGTTTTGTAATCTTAATAACTATTTTTATGGACGTAACCAAACAATCAAATTTTTAACAAATAAATGGTAATTTTACATTGGTGATAAATTGATTGACCTTTGAAAAATTAGGTAATGTAGGCTGTATAAAAACATATTTTCATGGTGAACAATAATTCATCATACGGAGCTTCCATTAATTTATCTAGGTATAAACGTTATAGTTGTTTATTCATCCCACTACGCCGACCCGAGACCGTACCTCTGGGTTAACCGCCAACTCGTCACAATATATGAAAATAAGTTCAATAAGTTCTCTTTTTAATGGGTCTTCTGAGGAATAATTATTCCGCACATTATGAACTTCAAAGAGACCCAAAGTGTGGAAGGAAGTTAGTCTTGCCTCAAAATCAAAGGAATTTGTTTCGGAAATAGAATCACAAAATGTGAGTACAGACAGACGCGTCTATATTGTTTCAAAAATAAAACACTATTACATGACGACACGCTCCGTCATGAAATAAAACAAACTGAGCCTAAACCTATGCTTTCAAACAAATAAATAATAATAATATTAGGATGTTAAAAATGTTAACAATACATGTCTTAATGGCAAACTTAAAAGAATCAACTTTGATTTTTAAAAATACGAAAAAACAATAAAACAAAAATAAAAATAGCTTACATAACAGTTTTTATAACAAATAAAATTAAAATAGATCCAAATCTGAGTGCTCAGGCTTTCTTTTTTTTTTTTTTTAGCTTTCCTTCTCAATGCCAAGGCTTGACTGAACTATTATGTTCTAACTTAAATTACTTTTTATAAAATTAAACGAGAATCCCCTATCTTTTTTCTTTACCCCATAGCGTTAAAGACTGATTCTAATTTTTATAATAATCTTTTCGATAAATAATACCTCATGATGCAAAAAAAAACTAGTACTGGAAATTTTGGTACCTATTTTAAATTCAGTCTGGAGAAAAATGTCCAATTTTTATATTTTTTTTCTAATCTTCTTTCCAATTCGACTACCTACGTCGTTCTATTAAATAACAAGAGATTCAAAAAAACAGTGAACCTTTTAAACGAACAGTGGTGAAAAGGAAAAAACTTTTATCGGTTTGGAACCTGGGTTCAGGCCAAATCGGCTAGGTTTAAAATTCCGACGAGATGATAGGGTGAAGTGGAACGCCCACAGTTAAACATACCTCAGTCGTATTTTCATGATAAATAGCGCATTTTCTTAAAAAAATAAATTTCTTACCTTTAAAATTGTGTTCGGTGTTTAAAATCCAATCTTCAAGCCTAAAAAAATACAAAAATAATTAAAGGCAACTGTGTAATTAAATCAAGAACATAAAATCTCCGTCGTATTATGTATTGTACTGTAAAGAAGTAACTAACTTTTTTATTTCAACCAAAAACTTACATAAAAAGATTAATTAATTGAAAAAAACTGTAAAGAAGATTGAAAGCTAATCCATTTTGTATAAAAAGTATCATGTTTGTCTTTCTTTTACGTCCCGTGTGGGTCGAATAGGAAAATTGCGTTTGTTTGTGACACAGAAAGAATTGAATGGAATTCACACAGTGAAAAGCAAAGTATAACAAGGCCAATTCCATGGCGATGAATTAAGCAGGTTGAGTTATAGGAAGGCGAAAGCGAAATAGGAATCAAGTGGTGATGATTTGTTTACAAGGATGCTCCTAATAAAATGGACAAGCCGACTGACCTAACATTCATGACATCTTTCAGTGATAAATTGTTCCTGTTCTACTGTGCACTTTCGCTTTGACTGTATTAAAGAAGTACGAAATTCCTACAAACCAGACGTACAGATGTTAAGTAAACAAAGTAAAAATAGATCGTAAAGTATGAAAAATTATTAGACCGGATAATTGGCAATGCTCTGAACTGTGCCAAACGTCGTCCATCATCCGGAGTGGAGAAGTTGCCAGGTTTTCGTATAATTTTACTTTAAGTTCAATATTAATAGAGGGCTGATACAAACTTCAGTTTTTCAATTTTAATTTATAAGTGTAGGGTTGATTATGATGATGATGACTAGTTCAATTATAATGTCATACTGTGTCCTTTAAAATATCTGTTCTAAACTTAGTGTAATCGAGTCCCAATTCGTCGAGGAATTTGATTACTTGACCCGGTTGCAACGGATTCCTTCCACGGTCTTGTTGTAAACCTCAAAAGCACTTTTTCCTGCGTAAAACAACGACAGTCTGTCCAAGAGTTTCCCTCCGCCTTTTCGCATAATATAAATACACCGTGCTAATTAATGCCGATGTTTCTTAGCTTCCCATAGAATTTTCAGTCTCCCAAGAATAATAAAAAAATTGTAAGATATCCGAGCCTCTTCCTTCTACATGATTTGTGGATTGCTCTGTCCAGTGAGATTCCCTCTATATCCTCCTTTCTTTTATGATGGTCTGTATTAGTATGAATGAAAATTATGGATCAGCGGTATGACATATCCGGGGAGGTGGGATATAGAGAAATAGACGGTTGTGCGTGTCTAACATATTAAACTTGTCCTTGCAAGTCAAAACCATCTTCGAGCTGATAAACTTCGAATTCAAGCTGCTTGGCTATTTATGATAACTATGCTTTTGTTTACATTGACAATTACAACAATACAAATTGTATATGTATCTTACAATTGAATGAAATTCTGCTTGAAAGATATTAGGGTACACTCTACTGATGGGTTTAAAGTTTTTTCCAAGCCCCCCCCCTTGTGTCCTAGATCAATTCCTTTCGTTTCTTTGTTATCCTTACGCATGCAAATCTGACTCTGTTTTGCTCGTCTAACTTACTAAATTTGACCTTGTAATTGAGCATTATTCTGATGATGTTCGAGTTCAATACTTTTCATTTCTTCTTGGTTACTGACCTGATAGCTTTACATAGCCTTTATTTTTGTGTTCTTTGTTCAAAATGAATATGAACATCTCTCAATTGCGTGGATGACTTTAAAGATATTGATGCATACTGGTTCCAATTACTTGATTTTTAAGACTTAATACTCTTGCACGTTCTTGCGTCTTAGATCGACAAGTGTATCAGCAGAGTGTTCCCTCCTCTTCTGTGTAATCCGGAACTCATGCAAGTCCTAGGACTCATGGATAGTAAATCACTCTGTTTTTCACATCCAACTTATTAAACTTGTCCTTGTAATTTAGCTTATGATTTTTCTTTCTTGAAGGTGGGATAATAGGTCATGACCTATTATCCCACCTTCAAGAAGGAAAAATCATAAGGCAAACTGTTCAGGTCGAAATATAAGAAAACATCGTTACTCTAATCTTGTAATTTAGATTGATATTTGAGCTGATGAAGTTAGAGTTCAATGCTTCTTACCTATATGACTTGATAGACTTTAATGTTGTGTACGTTTATCAGAATGGATATAAAAATCTCTCAATTGCGTAGATCTCGATTTGAGAAATGTCGAACGCGTCCCCTCGGGCTCTTAGTACTTGATTTTACAAGACCTAATACTCATGTACCCCCTTGCATCCTAGATTCATCGGTATGACAACAGATTGTTCCTTCCAGTTTTCTTTACCTTCACCTAATATAAATCCTAGGATCAAGAATAGAAAAATACTCTGTTTTGTAGGCCCAGCTTATTAAACTTAACCTTGCAATTCAAAACGATATTTGAATGGATCATATTCAGCAAAAACTTGTTTTGATTTTTTCCTTCTTCCTCTGTGCTTGCTTTCCTTACAAATCCTCGTGGTATATTGTTGTTACCCCCTTTCACCTATTATTGGATGTTGTCTAACATTATCACGCATAAGGTATTAGGGAATATCATTGTTCATTGACACTAACATCTAAATTCCTGCATGTCCTACATGTAAAAAGAGAGTGAATTTAATTTTATAAGCCAAAATTAGCAAAATTGGTTTTGCAATTCACAACCATCTTCGAGCACATCAGGTTCTTAGTACTCTTCTGGGCTGCTTGGGTAGTTAAGCGTTATTTCTCTATTCAATTTCAGCATAAACTGAATACAAATTATCCTTTTAATGGTTTCAACTTGAAAGATGTGATGCCCTTGAAGTTGGAGTACTTGATTTTTGGACAGATCCTTCCGTTTCTTCCATTCCGTCAGCTCCTGTATGTCGTAAAATCTTGAAATAGTCAGTGATTCTTTTAACTTATTTAATTAGGTCTTGCAATTCATAATTATTTTCGAGCTGTTGATGTTCAAGTTCAGCGCTCGTCTGTATTTTTGTATTCGTTCTACAAATTGACCTCACATCTCTCAATTACACGGTTACGCATTGAAAGGTAGGGTACACGACCGTGGGCTATGAGTACCAGACCAAATACTCCTATAACTGACCTTTTTGCATTCTTCTTGACCAGGGAGCTTTCCTCCATTCTCACTCCATATTGGTGCTACTTTATTTTCTATAAGTTTTGTTTAAATTCCCATTTAATATTACCATATCATGGAGCAAAGAGTATATTCTCGCTACAGATATAACAAATGCTTCCATTTGTAGGAAAATCGGAATCTAAGAAAAAAAAAACCAACGTCGACTCTTTTATGTAATGAATAATAATACGGTACTATTAAGAAAACATTTTAATTGACAATTTTGCTGTAGATTTAATTTATACTGGAAACACAGAAGACAGATAAATTATATTCTAAACCAAGACATCTAGTCAGTCTAGGTTTTATAATTATACATATTACAGACTTATTTTTTAAAGAAAGTTCACGACTATTTCTAACTAACAGGAAGAATGATTTTCCTTTTAACAAGAAAATGAAATGTTTTGAATTATTATATTTTCAAGATCAATGTAAAAATTTTATTATCATAATTTAAGCACGCGTTGTATTTGTCTATGTTGGAATCTATGGAAATAGGAGAAGACAATAAATTTCATTCTGGGGTTTTGCGCCCCCTTGAATGATAAAAAAGTACAAAATATTCTTATCAAAACAAATAATGATTTAAAGGGGGAGTGGAGGGGTTAGAGACTTTATTTAGGGGTTTGACCAAAGAAAGCCTGCCTGATTTTAGAGAGAAAGAGAATTTTGTAAGAAAAGTTATAAAATATAAAGTACTGGAATGGGGGTTTGAAGACAGGGCTTGATCAATTTTACTGGTTTCCTGTCTAGACCAATTGCGTTGGTTTTTACGCTCATGATATCTATTAATGTGTTGGGCAAGGTAAGATTAAACTCATCTAGGTATGCTGGGAAAATTGGAGGTGCTTGGGATAAATAAACGTTTGGTAAGAGAAAAAAATTGTTACGTCTTGAGTGTATACACAATAAATAAAATGCCATCGAGGGCGACGGACTAAGTAGCATACGCAAGTTTCCAAATGAGAAATCAGTGAAATGAGTTCCTTTGATTTGCATTGAAAGGTTGACATTTAGTATCCGATTTCAGCTTCGAGATTACAATCTCGTTACACGACCTCTCCTACGCTATCTTGTCTGCCAATTAATACAAAGTTAAAATGAACAACAGCAAGCGTAGGGAAAAGTCTATGAGAGTTCTATTAAAATGCTGAAAGATTGAAGATAACCGTTCGATGACGATCGTTCTCAAGAAAGCCTAATAGATTAATCATAGGTCAAACCGACAGATTTTCCCCGAGCCAAGGAACACAAAATAAATCAATATTTATTAACACTGAAGGGAAATGAGTCACGGCCTAATAATAGCGGGATAGAGTTAGGTGGTCTCTATCGCTGACTCATTTCTATTGCTGTGCCGAAAATGCCGAATTTGTAAGAGCCCAATTCATTAATGATAACCTTGTGGGTTGTACGACTTGGTACGGATTGCATAAAATCGTTCTCATATTATAAAAGAATAATGCAACGAGGGTTTATTTTATATTCCTTTTTTTAACTAGACCTTTGTTTCAACTTTTAACCTTGGGGATCCGCGCCGATCTTCGAGAAAAATTAATAATTACACAAATAAACGAAGGCAAAATAGGTAAGGTAAGTCATACAGACGGGATCTTTGATTACCGGAAACTGCTGCTCCTGGACACCCAGGATTTTTCCAATGTTGTGTATAAAAGGCCGATGTTTCTCGAAAATGTGATTTAAGCTCAAACTTCTCTCACGAGTGCACTACCGATTTGTGTTATTTTCATTAACAGTTATTTACTCCAATCTGGATCGGTGGCTGAAATCACGATCGTGTGACATTTGCGCGCACGTCCTTCCCAACGGTTCATCGGTCCAGGTTAAATTGTGACGTCATTTTGAGAGACACACCCAGAATTCCGAGAGAAATAGATTCATTTTTTTTTTTAGGAAGCACACTAAACTGACTGCTTCTCAAACCTTCATTAAAACTCATGCAAAAACAGTTAATGAAAACTCACTAAAAGCGTCTTACTTTGATATATCGAGTGGCAAAGGAAGGTAAAGCTCATGCCATCGCTGAAACATGTTGTGATTTTGTTAATTTGTGTTTTTGCTGTTTTTCGGTGTAAACCTCTTACAGCGTTAACTTTTATTTTATTTTTTATTTATCACATTATTTGTTTTAATAAATTTCTAAATTAATTTTTTTTCAATCACAACAGGTCCCCTTACACAGATCTTTAGCAGTTATAATTATAATTATATTATAACGTTTCCGGGATGGACCGCTGGGCGGCGATCTGGTTCTACGGGGATTTTTTTTCCTGAGAGGTTTTATAACAATTTTTAAAGAGAATTTTTTGGCGGTTAGAACATTTTTAAACAATATATATAGACTATTTTGACTAGTAATAAAAACATGAGCACAATGAAACAATTAAATAAACAAGATTGTTAAATAGATCTTACTAATCTTACTATCTTAAATAAACACGTTAGACTATATACATTTATAAATCTAAACAAACATTTCAAATAAATTATTTAAATATATACATTATAACTTAGACTAGATATTTCATATAAGTAATTCAATTTTATACTCATATAAACATGAGAACAATGAAAACATAATAAATAACTTAATTTACTAAAACATGCTAGCTTAAATAAACTTAACGGACTGTATACATTTATAACTTTAAATATAACTTCTCAAATATATAATTTAACTATGTATATATACAACTTAAAAACAAGACTTTTCATTTAAATAATTCGATTATATATACACACACAGATATTAATAAAATGAACGATATAAAACGGTGTGAACGATATTATGTCTTGCATGTTTGACAAAACAAGTTACAATTAATTTTCTCTCCAAATCGACGAATCAACTAACGTCGCGGGATTGGCTATTTAATTGACTTTTATCCGCTATGAATACTTTGGGATGTGTCGGGGATATTCTCTTATGCAAATTACTTCGTGCCAATGCATCAGGTGCCGAAATATTCCGTTTGTTGGAATTTTTTTTACAACTAACGAAATTTCATGGCCTAAATGGATGGTGCAAAAGCAATGACTGACCGAACGATCGGGGTGGTTAATAAAATAAAATATAAATCGGAGGACTGCAGCAGCCGTAATTGTGTTCCCCACAGACATGCTTTAGCCTCTTTTTAAGAAAGTTTTGGATGGGTCTGTTTAAATTATTAATTATATCATGTCGCGGCCAATTAAGTCAAGACTTTTCGCAATACTATGTGACGATATGGGACGCCTTCATCATTCCTTGCTTCTCCATTCAGAAATGAGGTGGTGTCTCTCGATTACCGGAATTACATCCTGAAGTCATATGTTGATGGACCACTATATCAAATGTTTTCAATGATGGAAAATGGAAATGTATACTGTCGCACTTATCAGATATTTCCACTAAAATGAATGAGATGAGTCTTTCTTTTCAAGGGAAGACCATCACTACTTTCGACGCTTGAGTCATAAATAGCGCCTGTAAAAGAAAGCTCCAGTTTGAGCTTAATCTGCTTAGAAGGATGAAATATGTGGACACCTTCGAAGTCTGGAGATGTCCTTTGAGCATTACTTCCGAACAGCTCGAGATACAATTCTGCAAGGCCAAGAATGGGTGGTCACACCGCTTTCTGTTTCGACAAAGCCTACCAGTCTATCTTCAAGTGAATACGAATGCTTGATAGACATTACTTGCTGCTCCCTCTGGAAAACAAAAGTTTGAAACGCTCGTTGAAAAAGCAAAACGAGTTTTTCCATTTGCCACAAAATTCTATGCGAATCCGGATTTTCTATCTATACCTCACTCTTCCTATTAATTCAATAATCTATATCTATGTTATCTAATAATAACTAAGTATCTAATTTTATGTACTTGAATTAAAGGGGTCCGCTCTGGATTTTGTTCTATGAAAGGGTCCGCTGACTTAAAAGTTCGAGAAGTCTTGTTCTAAATTATTCCTTTAGTATTATATTAAATTCAAGCAAAATATGCACTGTTTTCTATAAGCATTAACACCGTAAATTATTGCCATCAGTTCTGTGTTTGTTTTGAACTGTATTCACTGTCCTTTGAGATAAATAGCGAAGAAATGATATCAGAATTGTACAAGCAGAATACTATATTCCTACATACAGGGTGTTAAACTACTCGTGTTCAAACTTTGCCAGTAGATTCTACATTACAAATGGAACCAAAAGTCTTAATTAACTATGGTCCAAATCTCAACAGTTTCGGAGTTATTTAACTTTTTCTGATTTTTTAAGATTTCATGACCTTGCTTCAAATAAACAATAACTCCAAAACTAAAAGGTTTTTGCACAAATACGTTGAGACCATTGAAAACTACGTTAAATTTCCAAGTGTTTTAGTAGCGAGAACTTTGAAATTTTTTTTCAAAGTTGAAAAGCCTACAATGGTGATTCTAAACTACTATTTCCAAACCTAGAGACCAGCAAATTTCAGAAAACGTACTCCATTTAATATGCTTTAGTGATGCAATTGCTTTTTTAATTACTTTTTTCGAAAATGAAGAAATTGATGAGGGAAAAGAAAAAACATGGAAGGATTGGTAAGGTGAAAAGATTAATAATAATAACAAATAAAAACCTTAGAAAAATTATGAATGAATTTATTAAACGTTTTTTAATTCTGATCGAAATGCTCTCCACCCCCCGAAATGTATTTTCGACGCGCTGCTGTCGCATTAAACCTGCAAAACCCGTACATAAGATGTATATCAGCGTATTCTTCATTAGAAAAAGTATCCAAAGTGTTAACAATATATCACATAGATAACTAAAACTGTTTTGAATCCTAAAACTCTTTTATTCCGGAGAATAATAATACAATAATCCTTTAATCAAAGCTTCAGTCGCGTTGGTAAATAAGTAAACACTTGCTCTATTTCGGTTTCGAACCCAAATTTTTAAAAAAAAGTTTAATAAATTCAAAATTTCCTAAGGTTTTTATTTGTTATTATTATTAATCTTTCCACCTTACCAATCCTTCAATAATGTTTTTTCTTTTCCTTCATCATTTTTTCATTTTCGAACAAAATAATTGAAAAAACAATTGCACCACTAAAAAGCATATTAAATGGAGTACGTTTTCTGAAATTTGCTGGTCTCTACGTTTGGAAATAGTAGTTTAGAATCACCATAGTAAGTTTTTCAACTTTGAAAAAAAAATTCAAATGTGTGGTGATTAGTAACCGTTAATCGATAATTATTCAGAAATCGTGAGATACGATCTGGTGTGATGTAGGTTTCAGAAAAACATTTTCTTTATCGGTAACTCTCAACACGACACCAAGAATGGCACAATTACACAGAAGACAAATACTTTGAGCCCTGAAGATGATCTCAATAAAGATCGAAACGTTGGCACGATAAAGAAAATGTTTTTCTGAAACCTATCACACCAGACCGCATCTCACGATTTCTGAATAATTAAAAAATTCAAAGTTCTCGCTACTAAAACGATTATTTCACGAACGTTTACAAGTTTAGTAATGATCACATCTTATTGGAAATTTAACGTAGTAATTTGTGCAAAACCTTTTAATTTTGGAGTTATCATCTGAAGCAAAGTCGTGAAATCTTAAAAATCAGAAAAAGCGAAATATCTCCGAAAATGTTGAGATTGGACCATAGTTAATTAGGACTTTTGGTTCCATTTTGAATGTAGAATGTACTGGCAAAGTTGGTAACACGAGTAGCCGAACACCCTGTATATTCCAAAATATTAAATTGTAATAAGTAATAAACAATCTTTCCTACTAACGTTTAAATATTTGTTTAAAACTTTAACTTTCACTTGCTACAGCTAAGATTTATTGTTTAGCAATTAAACAGATGGAACCAAATTCACATGTTGTTTCTGGCGACAAAACAAGCAACAAGTAATTTATTTCATCTAGTCGAAGTAGTCGCAAATTCAAACAATTAAGTCGTTTAGCATACGCAGAACAGCAAATGCGAGGGCCAATGGGGCAATAATTCTGTGCCAGACGATAGTCACATAATCATGTCCAGCGATATGAAACCTTTCAGCTCGAGTTTAAAGCTATCCGTAGCAGACGAAGACCCCAGCGAAGATTCATGCGGGGTGATGTCAACGATACAATTGATCGAGAAGTGTTCGAAGAAATTGAAAGAAGCCGAAGCAACAAGAGATACCGACACGTCCAAATACGAGTACGTTTAAAATGTATGTATTTACATAATTTCCATTCGTTCTTATAGACAAAAATTATCAACTATCCCTGGAGAGTTTGTAACGATGTTTTACGTTATTTTAATAAGAAATCATTATTATCATTATTGAGTCACCATCGCTAGAAGAATGGCCATCAGTTTGGTGGAATGATTTCAAACTCATAATATAAACAAATCCCACTAACGCCTAAGAAATAATATCTATCTAGTATTTATAATTGTCTCAAATTACTTCATTAATTACATTCTTATGTATCCTCAAAGGACAGGCACCGCAGTCGTGAAAGGAAAGAATTTCAAACAACCTCAAAACTATCCCGGATGTTTTTTGTTTTTTTAATTTGTGTTAAACTTTAAAGATTTATAATTTAAAAATATAGGATTATAAATATTTGGATTTTTTATATAAGAAATGATACTATTGTGAAAAATAAATCGTCCTTGATTTTTTGTTTTTTACTTGATAATGAATGTCAGAACCCTGGGAAGAAGACATTATGAATTATATCTTCTTCAAACCAAGGCTTTATTACAAGGTTAACTAACATATGTTTAAAACAAAACGATGTCAGGTATTATTTGTTTTCAGATGGCAATTTTCCAGTGTAGACAGAGACATCAAGAGAGAATCGATATTTCTTCATGTGGATAGGAAGTCGAAGACTTTCTTCCTACCCTACATCGTCGTCTTCGGACTGTTTTTGATGGCTGCGTTGACGTCTGTAATATTCGGTTCGTGTTACTTTTCACATTGCGCTTATCTGCCCGAAGACGTGAAGCAATCGCCGCTAAAAATACTTGTGACAACTTTTTACAACGCCCTGGTTGACATTTATCTCGAACCAGTGGAGGTGGGAACCAAATTGTAATCGCGTGTACTCCACTCCTTAGGAAGGAAGTATTAGTACACTCATTTTGTACACATTCTCCAGAAAATTGATATCCTGTAACGCTATCATTGTGAACTTGTGTGACAATAAAAAAATCGTAAAGTACCTATTATTTATTTCATCGTTCAATACGGGGTAATCACGCTAACTGTGGTAATAGTCATAAAGTCGAGAAGTTTTGTGACTCAAGTGTATTATTTTGGGACGGATAAACAATGCCTCCCTCAGATCACAGGCTGCAGAGATATCACCAAAATCCAACCCTCATCCATTTGACAGATTACTATATAAATCCTACCATAAGCATAAAAACATATACATGATTTTAACATGAACGCGTCTCAGGATATGAGGGATATTCATCGAACAGTGGTTAAGGGTTATAAAAGTCACTATTTCGAAACCCACACAACAAAATTTTATTGGAAGCTCGCCTTACATGAAAACTAGGCAGATTAATAGACAATTATGACACGCAGATCCTATGAAAACAAACGCTCATCAAAACGATTTTATCGCAAACTGAATATAATTTTTTATTTGTATTTTAATTAATAATGTGATAACATTTACTGGGATAATTTATGTATATTTTATTTACGCTTGTCTTATTTACTTATCCATCTATCTGGGTATTTATTTGTTTAACTATCTGTTTATTTATCTGTTTATTTGTACATCAACCGCTTATCTATTTGTTTTAAACGTGGTTATGCACATATAAATGATTTAATCTTATAACTAGTGTAATGCTTATATTTCCCATTTTATCTGGTTATTAAATTTTTTTCATAATTATTAACTTTAACTATGCAAAACGTGTTTGCGGTTTTTTAATTTTTTCCCATTAATTGTAATATGTAAATATTATATATAAAAAAATTACAAGGAAAATCTGTAGAAGGTTATAAAACCCCGTTGCTTTTCGGGCTTTATTAGGATGCACTTGTACATTGTAATTTTTTTAAATTAATAATTTTCCAATTCCAAAAAATCCCATTTAGCGGAATCGCGAAAGACGTTCACCTACCTTACTAACACATTAAAACAAATATTGTTTAAGATATGTTTTTTTATATTATTATTTATACCTATAAGTCGTAATAAGGGAATGAACCGATTATGTTTATTTAAATAATTCGAATTGTACCATATGATCAATGATTATTCAGAAATCGTGAGGTGCGGTCTGGTGTGATGTAGGTTTCAGAAAAATATTTTCCTTATTGTGCTAACGTTTCGCTCCACCCCTTTAAAATCCAACATAAACATAAAACACTGGCACTCTCAACACGATACGCAAAAAAGGCACACAGAAAACAAACACTATAAATTCACTTTTTTCCACATCCTACATGTATTTGTTAAATGTAAACAATGTTAGTAAATCCCAGAACCTGAAGATGATCTCAATAAAGATCGAAACTCAATTAATTAAGGTTTTTTTAGTTGAGTTAAAAAATTCAGTGTCACGAGCGAGATTCGAACCCACGGTCACGAACACTCTACCACTTGAGCTATCGTGACCTCGATCCACTCGGACACCAACTTCCCATCTCAACCTCACCTCTCGAATTTTACCTCCTTTTTGCCATTTTTCAAATGTCGTGTGATCTATTTGATTCTCGGCGACAAATGAAATGGCCACCGAGAGCTTTAGTGGAGTATACTTCATTTTAACTTATCAATATTCACTAATTTACGTGGTCCGCTTGACCAATTAATATCATTCAATTAATTAAGGTTTTTTAGTTGAAAAATGGCAAAAAGGAGGGAAAATTCGAGAGATGAGGTTGAGATGGGAAGTTAGTGTCCGAGCGGAGTTGCGATGTAGGACGGAAAATAAAAAGGATCCTTGACAGAACACATTATGAGAGATAATTAGATGGAAAAGTTTGCCTCTAACTGCGTTATGTCCGTGATTATACTTACAACTAATGGCAAACTGGCTGAAGAGTGAAAAAACATGGCCGAAATCCAGAAAAGCCTTTAAAACATTAAACACAAATAATGAGAAACTAGTGCGAAGGAAATTCTTATCTAACCATCTGACCTACAAGCTTTTGCAAAATTAACACGATATATTGTATTCAGCAAATCATTTCCTGTCTTAATCTAGTTTATCTACTGAAACCATAAAGTGAGTGGTATCAGAGTAGATGAACACATGTTTAACTGATCGACACTAATCACTTGGCGGGGTCCGTCTATTCTCGCTAGTCATTGAAACCTTTTTAGTTCTTCAAGAAGAGCTTCGTTAGGTCTTCAACGAATTAATTTCGCCATTAACCTCCCTTCATATTGATTCCCAAATCCTTTTGCAATTTAATCTATTTTAAATAATTGTACCAATGTTCAATCCGAAATACTTGCATTTCTAGATTTTTATACATTTTTCATACAAAAAAACTGAATCCTTCTTTAGCCAGTTAATTTTGTCATTTCTGTAGTAAAAAGTTTTTTTAATATTTTAACCTACTTCGTTACATTACTCCGTCAAAATTGTTTTTGATACCTAACCAATATAAAGTAGGTTAACATATTTTTTTTAATCAAGGTACAAAGTTGATATTCGTTTTTTGTACCACAAAAAACCTGAATACAATTTTTTTGAAAATCAAAATCTCTAAGTTTTTCAATTGCTTCAATTGCATATCGAAGAGAGTATAGTTCCGAAAAAATAATATTGTGCAAATAACCTCTTCTAAATCCACTCAACCAAAGCAAAAAGGAAATGCATCATTGTTTCTATTTTGGACCCTTATAACGTGAGTCAAAGCAAATGTGGGTGGTGGACAGATGGAACATATGGGCACATCGTTCTCTCCTGCATGAACGTTATCACCTCCACACACCTCACAGTTGATAAAGATCGCGTATTTTCAACAAGCTACCTCATTTCTGTATGGGGAAACAGGAAATGATAAAGGCTTCCCATATCGACACACAATATTGTTGAAAGTCTCGACTTCAACGGCCGCGACTTGATGTAACTAATAATTTCAACGGGGGACACGTAGTCGAGTGGTTCAGGCATCAGACACTCGGCTAGTAGATCCCGCGGTCGTGGGTTCGATCCCCACCGTCGCCTCTGGACTTTTTCTTACGCCTAACGAGACCGGTGGCCGCAATTGAAAGAAATTGGCACGGCATTTATCAATGGAAGGAGCGGGATCAGATCTCAGCGACCCTGAATTTGGTCCCAACCCCATCAAAAATGAGTTTCTTCGATGGAAGAACACCGGCACACCGGGGGCTCGAATTGACACTTGTGTTGCGAGCCCCCAAAAAATGGAACCAGGGATAAAGTACAATAAGGAGTACAGCTGCAGTGCTCAGGAGGGAACTCCTCCAGTTCCTGGTATCCATTGTAAATAAAATCAAAAAAATATTTAAAACAAAATTCGACACTCATCCGAAGCTTTCATAGAAGCTGCCATTTGTTTCATAGCTAAAGTATGTCTGAGGAGAACACAATCACTGCTGTGCTGCAAAATAAAAATCTTTCATTTTTCATACTTACTGTTATTAGTTGTTTTTTAATTTTATTTATTCATTCTACGTTTATTTTTGTAATTATTAATTTCTCTCGAAGTTCGCCGCGGATTGGGTACATCGTCTTCAGTTCTTTTAATGCCTAATTTGTTTCTTTTTCTATGTATACGAATTTGGTCCATTTAGTATATGTTTTTTTGAAGTCGGTTTATTTTTGTGTGTGCGTTTCGCTTAACATTGTGTTAATCATGTTTGTATGCTATGTTTTTAGTTTGGGGTAACATTTCTCTATCGTTACTGGTACTGTTTTTAGTCTGCCCATTTGACGGCGCCGAATCGCCACTCTACGTAGAATATGAGCCAATAGCCCGAAACGAACAAAACAAAACAAATATTTATGCGACCATGATTTATTTTCTCTGCCAACCATCAAATAAAAAATTTCGTGGACACGCAGCCAATGAAAATAAGGCTTTAAATTTTACGTTGTTTAATTTGTTAAAACAGTGGTAGCAGTGCCTTCAGTAAGCTTGTACTTTCAAATATTTAATTTTCATTATATCATCAGGTATTTATATTATGTTACAGTTATTTCATATAATTTTAACTTTGAAATTAAATACAGATAAATCAATTAAACCAACTGTGGATTGTTTTTACCGATGTCCGGACAAATTTGAGTTCAAGGTATTGAAAAGTAAGGAAAACCATTAAAACCACAGAAAGACCTACATCATCAGGGTAATGCAGTGATTTTTTTTCCTATCCTTTTTAGATAGACAGCACAAGAGACAAGGTATCAAATCGGACCCGTTACCCATGACGAATTGGAATCATTGTCCGCTACAGGACGGTCACCTACCTCGCGTCACGTATTCCGCGGCGAAAAAATAGTTTTCAACCTTCAAACGGAGTACGAATCCAAACCCAACGTGGTGGAAAATGGAAAAGATATTTCAACACGGGAAAACAAAAATGCGGGCCGTAATCATACGGGTTCATAATTGAATCATCCTGATGGTTACTGAGAAAACCTCTGCAGAAAAAATAGAGGGATAAAAATTACAATGCTAAATATTATATTGTGCATTAAATAATTCAGGCTATTAAACAAAGTTTCAGCAATGTAGATTTTCAACCAGCCAATTCAATGCCCTCAGTTATCGGGTTTGTGGCTTAAACAATTTTAAATACCTGTACACACTGAGAAAGATTGCCCGACTAACAGGTTAGTTTTCCAAGAAGCTAATAGACTAAAAAGATCTATTCTTAACATAGAAATAAAAAAGTGTATATGGACTTTTGGTACAATATATAAAAAAATGGAAGATTTAAAAAGAGAATTAAAAAATGTGTTACCATCACCAATTTTAACGGCTGTTTATATAAACAAAAAATATTTTTCGAATCCTATTACCAAAAGAAGTGTGAGAAATTGCAAAAGAAATTTCTTAATCTTATGCAAAAGTATAAACCAATTATAAAACCTTTAGAAGGCTCGAAATATGTGTTCAACCATTCTAATGTTGAGATATCCAGTCTAGTTAATGATATTCTAGGATTAGGTCCTACTTACAACTTTCCTCGACATAAAAATGATATACCCATAA